AGTCCAAAACTATGGCAAGTTCGAAAGAAACTTTGTGTCAACGTTCATATCATAAAATTTTTGATACCTGTCATCCCAAGTATTTTATATTATAACAAGTTCTATATACTCTTGATTTTCAATTAAAAGTGATGTGGATCTGGAGAGATGCCTTGGGAGTTAACAGCGCCTGCTACCCTTCCAGATGACTGAATTTCAGTGCCCAGCGTTCATATTAGGTGGTTCACAACTACTTGTAGTGCCAGGTTTGGAGGATCTGATGCCTTCTCTGGCCTCTGTGGGTACCCACACGCCCACATACTGACATACACATAGGCACACATATACATACTAGTAAAATAAATCTTTAAAGCAAGGATGTACAGTGATGTAATGTGTTTTCTATTCATTTGATTATACTTGATTTAGAAAGCTTTATTATATAGATTTTAAAAGCCAGGCATTTTGGTTCACATCTTAATCCTAGACCTTGCGACGTGTAGATCAGGAGTTCAGGATCATCCTTGGTTACATAATGACTTTGAGACTGTGTTTTAGAACACACACATTCACACACACTCTGAATCTTAGTATTAATGTAGAGATGATAGTGAAACCTCATGGTACAACCTCAACAATTAAGTCATAGATAGTCTTGTTTCATCTGCACATCTGTCTGTCCTCCATCTGAAGATCCTGTTCTCAGTGTGTTTGAGAAGTGCAACTCAGTCTTGAATTTGCTTTTGTATAGGGAGTTGCCTGAGAACCTCACCTCCACTGAATCTTCTGCAATTGTCTGATTAGTGAGTAGAACTTGAGTTATGTGAGAGGTTGCAGTGTCTAAGTCCAAATCCAAATCACCTTTAACAGCTGTTTTCTGCTCTCCTCTGCATCCCTGTCATCCCTAACATCTTTGTGAACCTTAGGTGAATTCTTTGGAATGTACATACATACCTCTAATTTCTTGTCAATCAAGATAAGAACCCATTCAGATTGCTTTTTAGGCCTATAGAGATTTCTCTGTTTTACTCTAACCCATTATATTTCATAATATATGACATTTCTACCAATGTATTTGAAAAGTGCTTTGAGTAATTACCTTCTTTTTTCTGCTGCTATACAATATTGATCAAACTGTTACCATATTGGAACATGGAATTTGGGGTAACCTAAACCTGCATTCCCAGTCTTTGTTCACTTGTTTTTGGCTCTAGAATGAACTATGGCTCATCTCCTTGGAAGTAAGAGCTATGTTTGTGTATCATACTTGTTAAGGGAGTTGTGTACTTTTTGTACTGTGCCTCTGTGACCCATGATGTGTGATGGAACTTCTGCCCTACCTACTGGTAGGATGTGGGCATCAGTCAAATCTCTCTGATTGCCTGATTGTTTATGTTTACAACTCTCCAGTGAGATCAATCTTGGCTTATTTTCCTCTCTTTATTAACCTGCTATGTTTTCAGTTCTCTGAAGTCCATTGACCTGCTTTAAATGTTGAATCATGTATGTTTCGGGTGAAAAGAAGCAGTTTTGTAGTTTTTAGTGTCTGAGAGGGATCAGTATCCAAGCCAGGTGTAGATACTTCACTGAAACAATGTCCAGAGTTTTCTTCTTTCCTCCCCTCCCCCTTGCCTTTTCTCACTGAACCCAGACTCTGGTGATCTGACAAGACTGATTAGCCAGTAAACCCTTGTAATGTTCCTGTCTTTGTGCCCCAGCACCAGAGTTAGAAAGGCATCCCCTTAAGCCTGACTTTCTACTTAGGTGCTTGGGATTCAAACTTAGGTCGTCATGCCTGCTGGGCAAGCACGTTACCAGCTGAGCCCTGGCACCAGCCCCCTCACATTCTCATTTTCATTCATTCCTTGACTTGTGTTGCCTGTACTCATAGTGGGGCTTCCTTCCTCAGTTAACCCAGTCCAGAAAGTTGTTTATAGACATGCCTGAAGTTTGTCTCCTAGGCAGTTCTAAATCCCTTCAAGTTGACAATCAAGATTAACCATTCAGTCATTAATAACAGTTGACACACTCCTGAGATCACCATTCCAGAATACAGAGAACATGTTTTCCACAATGAAATCTAATGAAAAGGAAACTTGGCCTCTTATGTTTTATAAAAGATAATTCTGTTGATGGAATTACCACTACCCATGCCGGATTCTCACTCCCTCATTCTGTTTACTTTGCTCTACTTCAGTTGCCTCCTGTGAAATTAGAGAAGGGGCTGTAGAAATTTTCACACAAACACAATCATAAGACTGGAAAGCTTGCTAGTCAGGTTTCTCACTGTCTGTGTTACAGCAAAAGCCTTCTAATGCTGGCCACCATGGATGCTGGGACAAATTAATGCAACCGGATTGATTCTTCTCAGGTCTTTAAATGTTTAAGCTCACACCTGGCCTTTGTGTTGTCTCCTGCTTGTAGGTAATAACTGGGAATTCCAGGTGAAGGATTACAAATTCTCAGCTTCTTATGCTACCCACAAATGATCCGTTGGTTGCGGTTGAAAATGCCGGTTTGAAAATGTATTCGTGGGATTAGGAATAAGCACGTCTTCCCTGAAATCTTGTGGTTTAGCTTTAGTGCTTAGGGTAGTCAGTCCGTGTCTTTGAAATATTGAGCTGGCTGACAGCTTAAAATCCTAAGTTTCCTTTAAACTTGAGCTGGGCTTTGGAGGAAAAAGGGGTAGCACGGGGGGGGGGGGGGCGGATGGATTTTATGTTCGGCTCTCCAAACAGAATTCACTTAAGTGTGTTTGCCGCCAGGGTCTGGGGAATGCAAGCCAGCTGATTCCCTGCCTTCCTCCTTGGGTTCTGCCCTCAGCCCAGATCAACATTTAGTCAGATAATTGACATTGGAGCCTCTGAGGTCTGTTGTGGGCCTTGTTATAAAATCATTTTCCTTTCATGAAGACGCATGGAAGAGGGACGAGGTACAATGTCTAGGTTTAGTTAAGCTAGGTGTGTATAAGAAATATTCCTTGATACACTTTTTTATTTTAAAGTATAATTGTTTGCTATTGAGCAGGCGTGTCTGCATATGGTGGGGAGAGAACATCTTGCAGGACAAGGCTCTCTCCTACCGTGTGGATTCTGGGAATTGAATCTTCACAAGACCTGCCAACACCCCAGACATACTGAAGTCCAGGGGGATGGTAATACACTGCAGAATTGTGACTGTGTTCTCTGAACCTCTGCCTGGGCACTGAGCATTGAACCAGCAAACAGCGATAGAGTCAGAAGTTTGAATCCTAGATTTTGGCCTAACTCTGAGGTTTTTTGTTGTTTCTTCATCCATGCTTTAAAATGGTTCTGCCTATCCACTGTGAGAGAATCAGTTAAATAATACGTCCTGTCTTGTCTTGCTTTTGAGACAGGGCCTCAGGTATGCCAGACTGACCTTGAACTCATTGTGTAGCAAGGATGACCTTTAACTATCGATAACCCTGTCTCCACTTCCTCAGCACTGGGATTACAGGTACATGTGTTACCACGCAGGGTTTTCACAGTGCAGAAGGTCAAACCCAGGCTTTTGTTCTATGAGTGAGCTATATATCCCGTCAAGAATGAGAATTCTGATGCTGCTTATGAATCAGAGTTTATGTTACACTTGCAGGTTTGATGGTCAGTATGGCATTGCAATAGTACTGATTTCTTGTAGTTGGAACTTAAAGTGGCCAAGCAGGCTCAGCTATTAAAGGCAGTTCCCATCAAGCCTGATGACCTGTGTTTCATTCCTGGGATCCACATAGTTGATAGAGAGAACTGATTCCCACAAGTTATCCTCTGGCCCCTATAAATATAATTTGACATATGTGCCACATCCCTCATGTACATATACACAGATAAATAAATATAATAAGTTTTTTAATGCATCATAGTTAAGAGAACTTGAAATGATGCTTGTTTGATAAGATCTCACATTCAAAGATGTGATAGTACACCCTTCCGTGTGAGCTACCTCCCAGCTCCTACATCTTTGCTCCATCAACAGTGAGAAAGTGAACATCTGAAAAGACATTCTGCTGACCTATCACTCACCAGTTAGAAAAGGCTCATACAGCTTGCATCAGGGTGAGGTTGAAATTAGTAAATTTCACATTAGAGTAGGAGACAACTCAGCCCTTAAAAGGGCTCAAGGGAATAAAAAGGGAAATGTGTCCTATCTTTTGAGCATCATTAGAGTCTGCTTCCTGAAAGGGGGGAGGGGTGATGGTCAGAAGAAAGTAAAGAATAAAAATGACTTTGTTGAGGATTTGCAGGTAAGATGGGTCTCTTTGGGAGTTTGGGCGCTATTGCCTCTATGGGCGAGATGAGCCCAAGTGGGCTCCGAAGGCTGATCAGTCTAGCATGCCAGAAGATTGGGACTATGGCTTGGTTGGTAGAGTGCTTGCCTTGTATGTCTAAGGCTCCTGTGTTCAGTCCCCAGTACTGCAGAACCCGAGTGTTATCATACCTCTAATCCAAGTCATCAGAAGAAGGATGCAGGAAGATCAGGAGTTGACAGTCACCCTTAGATATATGAGTTCCAGGTCGTTCAGCCACATAAGACTCTGCCTCCAAAAAGAAAAGGCGGTGTGTGTGTGTGTGTGTGTGTGTGTGTGTGTGTGTGTGTGTGTGTGTGAGAGAGAGAGAGAGAGAGAGAGAGAGAGAGAGAGAGAGAGATTAAAGAATGCAAGTAGAGGAGTGGTAAAGAACATGTACTGCTCTAGGAGGGGATCTGAGCTTGGTTCCCAGCACTCACGGTGGACAGCTTACAACTGCCTGTATCTCCAGCTGCAGAACCATTCAGTTCTCTCTTCTGGTCTCCATACTCCCACACTCGTCTGAATACACACACACACACACACACACACACACACACACACACACCCCAGATGTTTTATAAGTTTAAGCTAAATCGAACTTTGAGGCTCAGAACTTTAAATCGGCAACGCTCACGGTGCAAAGCTTAATGCATCATATGTGTGTGTGAAGATGTCTCTGACTTTCTCCTGTCTTGCTTTTCTCTGTTTCTTTCAGCTCAAGCCAGGACAGAACAGCTGCAGGGACAGTGACAGCGAAAGCGCTAGCGGAGAATCCAAGGGTTTCCACCGGAGCAGCTCTCGCGAGAGGCTCAGCGATGTAAGTGCGAAATGCATCCGCCCACTCCTGGACCCCCATACCCTCTCCGGTGCAAGTACCATGCACCGGCGTTCAGATGGCTCACTTGCTGGGAGCATTGTTAAGCTTGCTCTCCTGGTACATGTGTTTGTGTATTTCACTTACTTTGTCATTCCAAAATGTAGGTTGACCAGAAATGTGCTTTAGCAAATGATGGGGGTTTCAGAAATGGCTAATGGACGTGTTTGCTGTTCAAGCCTAATATCAAAGTTCATATTCCCAGAACCTAAGTAAATGCCAGGTGGACATCGGACCCTTCCTGCAATCTCAGTGGTTTAGAGGCAGAGACAGTGCATGCCTGCCACAAGTTGGCTTGTTAATGTCACCATAGCAGCCAGCCCAGGGCTCAATGAGAAACTTCGCTTCAGTGACTAGAGATTTGGACCTGGAGAGAAGACCCAGTGCCTAAGAACACTGACTCTTCTTCTAGAGGACCTGGGTTTGACTCCCAGCACCCACAAAAGCGCTCACAATCACCTGAAGCTACAGTCCAATGGAATTCTATACATGAAGGTAAAACGCCCATGCACATAAAATAAAAGTAAAATGTATGATTGAGGGAGATACTCAAAGTCAGATTTAGCACACATGCATATATCCTCCCACAACTGAGAAAACACGTAGATATCAGTACCCACGAACATACAACATAAACACTGAAAAAAATCAAATGAAAATGGGGATATTTTTTCCCTAGGAAATAAGAGGTGGGCCAGCAAAATGGCTCAGTAGCAAGTTTCCTTGCTAGTCAGGCTGACGAAATGAGTTTGATTCCTACAACTGACAAGGTGGAAGAAGAAATTCCTGAAATTTGTTCTTTGACTTCCACCTGCACATACTGTGTCTTAGTTAGGGTTTCTATTGCTGTGAAAAGACACCATTACCATGGAAACTCTTATAAAGGGAAGCAGTTAACTGTGGTGGTTCTTTACAGTTCAGAGGTTCAGTCCATTATCATCATGATGAGACATAGGAGTGTGCTGGCAGTTATACGGGTAGCTGAGAGTCCTACATCTTGGTTTGTAGGCAACAGATAGTGGTCTTAGACACAGGAAAGAATCTTGAGCATATGTGAGATTTCAAAGCCCACCCCACAGTGACACACTTCCTCCAGCAAGACCACACTTACTCCAACAACGCCGCGACTCCTCATAGTGCCACTCCCTTCTTTCAAACCACTACACTGTCAAACTTGCTCACCCACGCTAAATTCACAAATTAGTAAAATCTAAAGAACTGGTAATGTTTTTATCAGAATAGCGGTCGGGCAGTACCATACCTTCAAGATGACATCATGTTGCTATGCTATGACCCTTAGTAATTTATACCTTGGAATCTTGTAACAATCTATCTCTGTTTGCTTTCTTCTGTTAGGATGAGTTGTCTGTCCAGTCAGGATAGATGCCTCTCTTGTCATGAGAGAGAATTATTAATAATTTTCCTAACAGATATAAAATTGGAAAACCTTGTTAAAAAATGACTGATCCCCTGGATGTGTCTGTTCTCCTGTAGACCTGGCTCCTAAGCACCTGCAGGCCAGGTCCCTTCCACCCTCTAGTGTTACCAAGGATAGCAAGGTCTCCTTTTGGGCTCATTGTCTCCTTAATAAAAGAAGAGAGATAGGGATTCAAAAGGCATCTCAAGTACTGTTTTACTAGACTTTAAGAGGAAAACAAGATAACAGACAAGATGTAAATTTCTTCCGCTGCTGTAACTTAACTTAGGGGTCAAGGCCTGTGGTGTAACAAACCAGGTTCAGTCTCTTATTCTCAGTTAAGTCAATCAACAGAGCCAAATTAATAATGAAAATCAGGATTAGGAGATTTATTCGATACGTTCACATTAGGAGAAAGAGATACAGCACTTCCTCCCAATGCTTGAAGGCAAGTTTTAGATAGAAGGCAAGAAATATGCATAATCAAGTAGTCTAGCCAGGTGTAGTGTCTTGTTTGCTCCAGTCTCTTCTGCAAGGTCGCCTGTCAATCTCTCTTCAGGCAGGCACTTTCCTCCTCTAGCTACCCTGAGGGCTTTATAGGCTTTCATAATCCCAGAAGGGGATTCCTGGGGAAATTCTAATCTCTTAGGGTCCATTCTTCCAACTGTTTGATGACCTACAAGGAGAGCACAGGTGTCTTGTTAGGACTCATTGATTCCTGCCAGACAGGCCTTTACATGGCCCGGAGAAGGGGAAGTGCAGAGAAGGGAGAAAGCCGCGTGTTTTGCAAGCAGCCACATGGATAAAGCAGAGAGAGAGGCTTCAAAGAGACAGTGAAAAGCCCAGGGAAAGCCTGCTTAGCCTTTGGCCAGTATCCAAAAGAAGGGATAAAGGAAAGTAAAACAAAATGTGTTGCTTTCGGAGGCCTGTCTCAGAAAAATGGGCAGGCAGAAGCTGTACCAAGAGGAGGCTTCTGGGAAGGGAAAGTAGATTATCTCATTAATAGGATAACAACCTCTTCCATCTCCTGGGTAGATGTGCTACCCAGGGCTAAAGATGGAATTTAGAACAAAGCCCAGGTACCTTCACCTTTCTGTGAGGTAGTTTAAAATCTTAGGGATGTCAAAGCGGATGTTCATGTTTCAAAGGAAAGGAGCTGTCGGGTGGAAAGCTTCTGTAGCCTGAGGCTGCAGTAGTATTACCCCTGTTTCTCCTGAAATCTGTCCACCCTGCTTTGGACTCTCCTGGTCCTCCTGGATCTGTTGTATTGTCTACGCCAGAACTGACTGCCACAGACTCTTTTGGCTCCTTCCCTCACTTGTCATTTTAGCACTGTTCAGGCCCCATCTTTGTCCCTTTGAGGAACACTTGGAAGTTGTCCTGAAATACAGGCTTAGTCGAGAGAAATTTTTGCTCATGATGTCAAGAATCAACATTAATCAAGTTAAGTGCAAGATGTGGAGGTATGCAAAGGAGAGAAGTTTTGAGTCTCCGAAGTTACAAAGCAGTAGATGTCTGATAACGATTATGTGTGTGACTGGTCCTTTACCCTGTTCTCCTCCTTTCTTTCACTCTCAGCAAGAGCTGTTATCGTGAACAAGGTGGTGTGTTGCAGAGAACATACTACAGATTTCTCATCAAGGAGAAAGAGGCATTACACTTTTGACTTTAAATGTTATAAGCAGGGAATAATTTTTTATTCCATTTTGCATGTCAAAGTTTCCATGTGTGTATGGGTTGCATATGATTTGGCTTTTGTGTGGAGGTCAAAGGACAGCTTGGACGAGTTGACTCTCTGCTTTTACCGTATGAGTGCCAGGAATTACTCAGGTTCCCAGGTATGGAAGCAAGCCCCTTTATCTACTGAATTATCTCACCAGCCCATACATATACATGTATATATACACACACACACACACACACATATGATTTTTAAGTTCATATATGTTAAGATTCTGTATTTCAAACTGTTTTTAGTAAGCAATGTCCACTAAAACAAAATGCTGCAGGTAGCTTCCCCATCCCAAGTGATCATACTACATTTTTAATACTGTTCCGTCGTATATAATGCTTCATTGTTCTGACCCATTTCGTCATGACCCCTCGTCATCCCATCTGCTGATACTGCATTACCCTGACTCCCTTCATAGGCTGATACTTCTTTTTCCCGGTTCTCTTTGTCATTGTTCTGTTGCTGTGGAAGGACACCATAACTAAGGCAACACTTAGGAGAGAAATTATTGAACTAGGGGCTTACTCAAAGTTGCAGAGACTTAGTTTATTTTCATGGCAGCATGCAGTCATGGTGGTAGAGAAGTAGGTGAGAGCTTCGTCTTGCTCTGAAAGTGGAGCCAGAGAAGCAGAGACAGAGTGACAGAGCGACACTGAGTCTACCAGGGACTTTTGAAACCTCCAATCCCAGCCACAGTAATTCACTTCCTCCCGTAAGGTCACAACTCCTAATCCTTCTAATAATTTCCTAGAATTCTACTCTTTAGTGACTAAGCATTCATACATATGATCCTGTGCTGGCCATCGTTATAAACCATCACACTGACCCATTCCATCCAATAATTCTGTATTACACTGATCCCTTCCATATAGTAGTACTGAATGACCCATTTTACATGACTGTGTGTATTACTCCACCCTGTTCCTTAGGAATATTCTAAATACATCACCCTGACACGTTCTACTATGACAATGTTACATTTTCCTGTATCAACTAAAGTAGACAGCACCAAGACGTAACTTTTTTCCCAACACTTTCAAGGAAGTTAGTTGTTTGGTGTGTGGACATTTGCATTCTTAGAAGAATGAGCAGGATGAATCAAAGCCATTATTTTTGCAGTATTACTTAATATGTTATTAAATAAAGAGTGCTGTCTTTTCCTGGGAGTGAAATTCTGCATATAATAATATTAGTTTCTTGATGGGTTTCACTAGTTTTATGATAGAATTATGGAATCATGTAATGGTAAGTGCTATGCTGATCTAAATTCCAAACAATGAATGCTTACTTCGGTCTTTTGGGATTTTGTTGTATGATTTGTTCGTATTTGTTTTTGTGTTTTGTAATCTAGGTGAGGGTAAAACTTTTTGTTAGCCAAGGATGAGCTTGAGCCACTGATCCTCCTGCCTTGGCCTTTCAAGTTCTGGCAGACATTTCTTCCCATACCCACCTTGTGCTTTTAGTGTGAGTGTTTACTGACTCTGTACGTGTTCTAGGTTTACCTAATCAGACTTTGACCAGTGGTTCTTAGCCTTCCTAATGCTGCAACAAGTTCCTCAGGTTATGGTGACCCCCAACTATAAAGTTATTTCATCAGTACTTTATGACGGTAATTTTGCTACTGCTATAAATTCTAATGTGGATAGCTTATATGCAGAATGTCTCAGACCCCTATGAAAGTGTTGTTTTTCCCCAGAGGGGTCACAATCCACAGGTTGAGAATGACTGGCTTATGGGATGGAAACCTGGTTAGTTTAGAATAGTCACCAGTTTCAATGGTAGTTGGGTACCTTT